GTTTCCTCAATCTGATACCCCCCATCCTCATAGGAGAGCAGATAACTCCCCATTTAACCAAATGAAGTTTCCTCTCCTCTCCTAACCCTGCCCAAAGGAATTCCCTTTGAATCCTCTCTAATCTGTTAGTCACTGCCGCAGGAATAGGAAACGGTGACATAAAATAAGTAGGGATATTTGATAGAGTAGATTTGACGAGAGTAAGATGGCCACCCTTCGAGAGATGCATACGCTTCCATGCTGCTAACCTCCTTTCCACATTCTCCACAATAGCATTCCAAATATTAATACTTTTAAACCGCGCCCCTAAACATTCTACATAAATTTGACAGTAGAAAGAAAATTATTGCACTTTATGTTTAATGTATATGATAAATGATAAAAGATGTTAATGAAGGAAATTTTTAATTAATTTGTTGGTATATTATACCTTATGCTTGGATCTTTTATAAGATGCCAAGGAGTCATCTCTGAATTGAGTACCAGGACCATGTCGTGTCTTATGCTCTGTTTTGACACGTGTACTAACACAATAAGCTAAATGTTGTGAATGAACATGTTCTGTTTTGAACTTACCATCCCTTTGTTATTGTTAGCATCAGAATACTGCTAAATGCGTTTTAGTTTTTTGTCCTGCAAACTACATAGAAGTCTTGTGTGGAACCTTTTTAACAACCAAATATTCTTCAACACTACTGAATTTCTCCTTTTAATGTTCTTCAATCAAACATACAACGAAAATTATGTTCAACCTCCGTCATCCAGCATTTACCTTTCTCAAAATTTTCCTGGTATTTAAACAAAACCACTACGAGACTACCGTTTCCATACTGAATGCATATTCTCGAATAATCGTCTCCTGAAAGATATTTTCTGTAACGTCTCTTTTTTCTTTTCTTCCTCATTTCCTTTGCATTCGTTCTCAGAGATGTCCACAGCTCAACCGTGCTTGAAAACCAGTGTAGAAGTTGTGAAAATATTATGCCAACCACTGAGTAACTTATACCGCATCACTTACTCAATTTTTTGGATATATGACATCAAAGTTAAATATATGGTAGACTGTGTTCAACTCTACATAAAAGGAAAAAAAAAGAAAAGAAAATTGGTCTGTTACACGTTATTGTGTTGAGACCTTTCATATTTTAGTTTGATTTGACCGACTTCTTTTTTTACTTTGAAATCTCTGGAAGATGATTATATGTACCCTTTGCACATAGTTCTTGATGATCTTTATTAATAAAAATATGTTAATTTGTATGAATTGTGATGATGTAACTTGGTCTTTTTTTGTTGTCTGAAGTGTTGAAATAGAAGATTGTACAGAAGCCACACGTGAAGAGAAAGCTTTACTGCTGTCAAGAAGCTATTTCCCCAAGTGAGTGAATGAGTTCCTTGAATTATTTATTACAAATTCAATTGCTTCTTCTGGCATGCACTTCTAGTTCGTCTACCAGCTGTACTTGGCCTCTTTAAATTTTACTCCCTTGATCGTTCTTTATTTGTCACACTAGGCAAAAACAATGAAAAGATGCAATTTATATTCTACTCTTTGCCCACATTACGTTTCATTTAAAAACACAGGTCAACTTCTGAATATATATTCTGAAATGAGTTTCAACGTGTAGTCATCACTTTTTCTTACTCTTTTGCACCAATAATGAATGGACATCTTTATATTCTAAATGCAATTGTGCTATTAGTGTAGCAAGTGACATTCTTTATGGAGACAACCCTAACTTATAAGTGTGCAACATATAACAAGGGACCAAGATGGATACATTCTTTTGGTTAATGAGTGGGATTTTTTAAACCGTAAAGCCACCTCTATCATAATAAATAAACAATAAGGGTGTGTTTGAGCCACATTATTTTGAAAGAAAGTCTTTTGAAATAGTAGATTGATGGAAAATGTGTGGTTGAAAAAGAAGGAAAAGTTGTTGATGTGATGAAAAATATTATTTTATTGAAGAGTGTGAGGTTTAAGATGAGTAGAAAAGTTAAAATGAAAATTTTAATGTATCTCAAACGGGGGCTAAGAAAGGAAGGAAAAACAGAAACATAGAAAGATAAAAACAAGTCTGCAGCACAATGAAAATGGAAACAGAAAAAGTAAAGATTTGTAGAAAGAAATGTGATGACAACAAACAACTGCGTTCTAAATGATAACCAGTACTAGTAGCCTGCTCGAAGCCCTTGTTTGAGCCTCATTTTTTGGGGATAATAGATTTTGAAATAGAGATTTTTTAGAGAATGTGAGGTTAAAAAGTAAGGAAAAGTTCTAGGTTTAAGTGTAAAATTATTTTATTAGGAATTTGTATGATTAAACACGAGTTTTGGAAAAATGGGGCTCCAACAAGGGCTAAGGAAGTTAACTACTGAAACTATGCCCACAAAGACCAAAATATATATTTCTTCCTGTCTAAATAATATTGCTTATGTTTAGAGCTTGTTTTGGAGGAATTTTAATCCAATTAAAATTGAAAATAAAAGTCAACAATAACGACTAGTTTTTCAATTTTAATCCAATTTTAATCTCTACCAAACAAGCTCTTAGTATGTTTAGAATAGAACCAAGATATTGCGGTTTTCTTTTTAATGACACTATTGGTAGTGGTGAACTTCCTTATGATTGCCTCGTGACATTTTTGATAACTTCTATAGAGACTGACATCACTTCTCATCCTTTAATCTCAACTATCAAGTATCTACTTGCTTTTGATATAAAAATTCTCTTTGAGAAGATTTTTGAAATAAATATTCTCACTGGAGGGTGAATTCAAAGATGATCCAGTTGGTTCGACTATAACAATCTGTTCCCAGCTGTGCTGCCTCTAAAGAAGTTAGTGGACGCTTGTGCATTTGGCCTTGTTATACCTTGTTCATGGATTTTTGTGGCCATCAATAAAGAAATTTTTTGTGTTCAGTAAAAATTGTTAACCCACGTAAGCTAAATATGAAAATAATTTCCAATAATAAGGCATTGAGCTACTTCTCTTAATAAGGTATGTTTGACGTTTTTAAGATGGGACCTCAAGATCCAATATAGTATCAAAGCTAATTAAGCTCAAACGAACAATTTGGTCCATCTAAAGTTCAAACGAACAATTTGGTCCATCTTGTGGATACTTTAGCAACATTTGTTATTATTATTTTTTTTATTTCAACTTCACAAAGTGCCAGTTCACATGGGAGAATGTGCAAACAGAATTATTCTCCGTACTTCGACTGTGCAGACTGAGTTAGTTTCATATTTTGCAGTTTTCATGGGTCCTTTCAAGAAGTTATTTATCCCAAAGGGGATCCTGATGCGGTTTCCATGAGTTTAAGGGACATAGATCTACTAAGGCCAGATACATTTCTCAATGATACAATCATAGACTTCTACATCAAGTAAGTTTATCTGGACATAAAATACTCAGTCTTCATTGAGGCAGGGAACTTATAAGAAGACGAGGTCCCCTTTATTTTGTATATTGCCTCTTATCACTTCAGACTTGAGATTGGTATTGTAAGACATCTTTGGTTATCTCCACTTATTAAGAATTATAAAGGTAACATAGAAACTAAGAAAAAAGAAGGAAAGTTGAATTTGGCATGTTGCTGTTTCTTCCATTAAATTCATTTCGCCTCCTAAATAATGGTGGTGTATGAACAGATTAGATATGCTCTCTTAGTGTACCCTTTTTGGAGGGGGAGTGAGATATTGGGAACTTGGGATAATGCTGATAGTTCCAAAATGTGTTGTCTTGCCTTAGCTTTTTGTTGGTTGTATTTTGCTATTATCCCTTTTTTCTTGCTTGGTTTTAATGAAACTTCATCTTATGACAGATATTTGAAAAATAAACAAAACCCCGATGAGAGGCTTAGGTTTCACTTTTTCAACAGCTTCTTCTTTCGAAAGCTGGCCGACATGGACAAAGACCCATCTAGTGCCTTTGATGGCAAGGCCGCTTTCCAGCGTGTTCAGAAATGGACTAGAAAAGTAAACTTACTAGACAAGGACTTCATAGTCATTCCTGTAAACTACAAGTGAGAAGTTCAATAAGAAGTTTAATTTAAGCCCGCTCCCCCCCAACAAAACCCCCTGGCTCCAGAATACTGGGTTCTGGTATCAAGAAATGGAGTGTGATTTCTGATAAGTTCCTTACTATGCTTGTTGTGACAGTTATCACTGGAGTCTTATAGTAATATGCTATTTTGGCAAAGTGGCCGACTACGAAGGTAAGTTGTATCCAAATGCATGCTGTTTTTTGCAAATAAGTTTTTCAATGCTACCAACATTTTTTTCCCCATGTTTTAGATCTTGATGCAAACAAATTAGCCAGAGTACCTTGCATATTGCATATGGATTCAATAAAAGGAAGTCATGCAGGCCTCAAAGATCTTATGCAAAGGTATATATTTTCTTTGCAGTTATTATTAATGTAAGTACTTTTGTAGAGCTGTTGCGTATAAGCTTAGTGGTATCCTGGCAATTTGTATGGGGTTTGATGCATGTGAGAATGGAGGAAGAATCTGCTATTGTAAGAATACGAGCCAAGTCCGTCTCTAGGCCAAAGTGAGAGTGCAGTAGTTGCTTTTTCTTTTCCTTTTTGGACTGGGTGGCTTACATCAACTTTTTTTTATCTTCCTTCTATCCCGACAACGTAGAATGAAACTCCATTGAATAAGACCATGATATTAGGGAAATTCCATCCAAAAAATACTTGTTTGAAACCCTGTACCCTCTCATTTATGATTCACGAACTATTATACGTACCAAATACTTATCCATGAACCATGAGAACTCTTCACTGAAATCACTTGTAACAAGTTAAAATGGATGTGGCCGTGCATCAGATTGGAGCACTCGACGCTTTCTGTATAAGTTTCGACATGTTGGTCACTTATGTATTTTATCATTTGATTCTTCAGATTTTCCTTTTTCTTCCAAATCTAGAAAGGTTTATATTGAATTTGATGTGTCTTACCTGTCAATTAATAACTTGAAATGCAGTTATCTATGGGAGGAGTGGAAAGAAAGGCGGAAGGAAACACATGAGGATTTGTACTCGAAATTTAGAAACTTAAAATTCATTTCACTTGAGGTACTATTTTGGTCTCTGTTTATTGTTACATATATTATTTTTTCAATATATATATATATATAGACACTTATTCTAGCCCCTGTTTGACACCCATTTTTGGCAAAAAATAAATTCTGGAATAGTGATTGATGGAAGAATGTGTGGTTAAAAAGTAATAAGAATTTTCGGGTTTATGTATAGTATTATTTTATTGATAAAATGTATGGTTGAAATGAAGAAAGAGAAAAAAAATGAGAATGAGAATGAGAAAAAATGGGTGTCAAACAGGGGTCTAATATCCACCAAATTGACATTCCTTATCTTTCAATATGGTTGGATGTCAACTAGTTTGTCCAGAGGAAGGCTTCTGTTTCTGCCTATCCATAACTCCAGTTTTTCCAAAAGTTGACCTTGTTCCACTACTTCAAAAATTGATAACACGCATTGTCTGTGCATTCTACTTGTGTGCATACTTCTCAATAACTTCGTAGACAAAGAGTTCTGAGCGCTGGGACCCCCTACAATTTTCTCCTATGGTTTTTCTGTTGTCTTCAACAATCTTACTGAATTGTGAAATATTTAATGGAGCTTCTATAGAATTTCTTCAAAAAACATTTTGGTTCAATCTGATAATGATATTAATCCAGAAAACGCGGCATGACGTAAAACCTATAAAGAAGGTCTAATCCATTTCAGCATGCCTCTCTTAGATAAATATACTGTATTTAGCTTGCCAGCTTTCTCTCAACTCTTTGTATGACAGAATTGCATAGTTTGTTCATGTAGTGATAGGGAGTTGAGCAATCACGCACCCCAAAATCTGCTGACAGCTTGCAACTTGATCTTCTCTTCTACTGTGCTAATCTTGCAGGATCGTTCTGGTATTTCACGAGTGGTTCTTTGTTTGTTCCCAAAAAAGATAAAATTGAAAATGGCTAACTCAGCCCACACTCATTAAACTCTCCCTGTCCTCTTAATCACACATGCCTTGCTCTGTTATTATTTATTAAAGAACCCATATATCAGAGAAAAAGGAAGATTATAGAATGCCATTTCTCAACCCACTGATATTGGGATTTTATCTTGGATTTCGTAAACGATGTGATTGCTTTATTGGAGCCCATTTTCGCTGCTTCAAATCTTCAATAGTGTGGAAAGTTAAATATGCTAGTAAAACATAATTTTTCGTTTAATATGGATTATGATTTCCTTTGATCTGGGCACAAAGAAATATTGTGAGTGGTCTTTGGAAATTGTAATGGAAACCTGTCTTTGGCAAGTATGGTAAAGCATTATAAAGTGTTCCGTGTATAAAGAAATAGATCAAACTGAGTATGTCTTATCCTTTATATAATATGACCCTGTATATAACATATTTTAGTAGAAAATACAGAAAATCCCATGGTGTGACTGGCGGTGTGAACAAGGCCTGGGATTTATGTTATATTTTTTCCTTTTTGTTTGTTGTCTACTTGTCTTGTCCCCCGGGACCTCGAGAACCTTAGTTTTCTCTATAAATACCAGATTTTAGATTATTTAAAATAGTGGAAATGTGTTCCATTAAATAAGCATGGTACATTCTAACAATGCATGAATCTGTTTGATTTCATATTCATGAAACGTGTACGAGTCTATTATTTTTATGTTTGGGCAATTTTTATTTTCTCCAGCTGATATATTCAAATTGAAAATTTTCCATTACCTTTTGGTTTCTGGTTGATTGTTTAGTTACTGTATAGCACAGTTCTGTTTTTGGCGTTGCTTCGTGTCTCAGCATGCATTTTGTGCAGCTACCTCAGCAGCAAAACTCATATGATTGTGGCCTCTTCTTGCTTCACTATGTAGAGCTTTTTCTCGAGGAAGTTCCCGTTGACTTTAGCATACATAAGATAACATCATTGAGCAACTTTGTAAGTATTTTGCTTTATTTTATATAGAGATGCAAGCTTCACATTTTTTCTTTAATTTTCAAAATTATTGGAAAATAATTGTTAAAAAATGCATCCTAAAATTGATAAACGGTGCTATCATAAAGATGGATCAACCTTGAGCTGCTTGTTTCCTCCCAATTTTATTAAACTTATGTGATACCAAATTTCCTTGCATGATTAACTGCCATTGATGTCAACGTGCTAGATGGAATTAACTAATGATTACTGTATAGAAATATGCATTTGTATCTTACGAATGCGGTAGGTCTCATATTGCTAGATATACGTCTTTTTCTCTCAAATTGATGCAAATTCAGATGTAGGGAGAGTAGATCAATTAGCTTCCAGTTAAGGTGACAGGATTATTCGGAGTTCTCCATTGATGAGAAGCTCACTATTTATGGAGTGCCATGTTTTACGTTAGGAATTAAATAGGCTTTATCAAGGTCATAGGAAAATATTGTTATTTAAGCTAGTGAAAGGTAGGGAAAATAAGTATGATCAAGAGCTGATAGGCTTGATTCCATAGGATTAATATGAGCCAAAAGGCATTAGATCACGAGTCTTGACTTTATACAAGTACAGAAGAAGTGATCAAGCAATAATTTGAGTTGATATAAACAATTTGCTAAATAAGCTTCCAATAGGTGGCGTCTCATACTTCATTGGTCAGTTTTTAATCCTTAAGGGTGCATTTGGTACACCGCATTGGATTAGAGGATGTGATTAGGAGGGATAGGATTAGGGGTTGTATTTTAAGGTGGTTGAGTGTACTGTTCAAATGCCGCAATTGGTGCTACACCGTATTAGAAAAACATACAAGTATTAAAATAAGAAATTTAAGAATATATGTTTGTCTAAGCTTAAAAAAAAAGGTTTTAGTTATTTTTAATAACATTTTTTCTACAAATAGGTATGACTAGCCTAATTTCTTTTACTTTTAAGTAAGAAAATTACTTTATTTAAACATAATTATTATGCTTGTGTCAAAATAAGTAACATTTTTTTTTTTTTTGACATTGATCTTTTTAAAAAAAAGGCTATTTTTTTAAAACTTATTTACTTCCAAGTAAAATTACTTTTTGTCAACAAGTGTGGATTGCATTTAAGGAAAAAGATATATTTCTAAAAGTAACTCTTACATTACATATTTTAATTTAATTAATAAAAATAGTTATTTATTTTAGAACTTACTTATTTTCTTTTTCTACTTATAAGTAAAAGAATTTCTTATAATTAAAAAGCTATTTTTACATAAATTTTCTTGTGGTTAAATTCACTTGTATATAAACTTATTTACTTGTTAAGTAAATTTATATATTTCAATTAAACTAATTTTTTGCATATTATTTTTCATCATTGGTAAATGGATAGTCCAGTCTAAACCCATCATATGGAGCTTTTTATTTTATCTGGTTGACTAAAGGAGGATAAGCGTCCTGATTAATGTAGGTGTTATTTGCACCAAACACTGGATCCGGTCTAATATGGCACACCAAACATGCCCCCAAGTGCTTTAGTGGTTCTTTAAGAGTTCTAATTAACCATCTCATCCTTTGGAGTAAAATATCTCAAAAAATTTAAATTCTAACTTGCTACTGAAAACTTGAACTAGATTAACAAAAGTAAAAAATAATAAATATCAAAGTACTGATGACCATTGATTCTCTACTAGTACTAAAATTTCAAACAAATGAAACATCTGTGTGGCTATTTAAGAATAGTAGAAAGAAGTTCAATGTCCTGTCATTTGTCATGTGCTGCTAAAGAGTTGCAACTTCACTTATTGCAATTCATTTGCAGTAGTGTAGGGCATGCCTATTCTTTTTCTAATTTTTGAAAAAATCAATCCCGAAAGTTGAAGTGATAAATAGCCTAGAAAAACCAGCTATAATCGAGTGCACATCTCAGACGCCTCAAGGCTTGTGCCCTGAGGTGTTCACTTAAGTAAGTCGTGGTGTAAACCTTAACAATTGATACTCAATGCATAAGTTTTGAGGCACTTGATGAAGGCCTCATGTGAGGCATGTCTCAAGGCATAAACTTCGGCATTTTTTAAACAATCCTTTAAGCTGTTGGTTGCAATCTACAACACCTTTTAGAAAGAAAAGAACTTAAATCAAAATACTTAATAGCATGGCGACACATTTATTCAAAACTTCTACCCCGAGCACACGCAAATCCTTCACGGGTTTGCTGTTTTATTAGCTTAGCAGGATATTAAGGAAAGATCAGTGAGGGATTTTCCAAGATTCGGTTTATGTGGCAATTTAGTAATTGAGAGCATATAAGGCCATTTATTAATGCCAATAAGTGCAAGAATATTATTGGACGGTAAGCATGAAGAGGCTTGGTTATTCACTTGGTCTCACTGGTTTTCATTGCCTTACACTTAAATAACCTTGTCATTCATTACACAATATTTAGGGTCTAGTAAGCGACGATGTGCTTCCGCCGCCTGCAAACCGGTGTCCAACATGTATTGGACACGGGCACTTGTCTGATACACCAGGTGGTGTGTCCATGTGGACATCTCCCCAATACGGCGCCAACACGCCGTGGATGTTTAGAAGTAATTGGAAAAAAGGGGAACTAACCTAGTGTATATTCATCTCCATTTCTGCAACCAAGCTTTCTTTCATCAGCGTCATGAGTTGGCAGCAATCTGCCAACTGGTGTTGGATTTCACGGGTTCTTCGATCAGCGTAGATGGAAGAAAACAAATCTGAAACCCCAGATTTCTTTTCGTTTAACTTGCCAAACCCAGCTTTCTTTTTCTTTTTTCTTTTTCCCTTTTGAACAGCAAGACAGTTTTCCTTATTAAAAGTCTTATTTACCCATTGAATAAACCATTGGGTTTTTTACTCACTAAAACTATTATGCTTTTTGATCGTTCAGTAGAACAATTTGGCTTTTTAACCATTGAATAAAACAATTGGCCTGCCTTTGTGATAAAGGAATAAAGCAATTGACTTCTTTTATCCCTACTTTTCTGCCTTGCCAGAATATAGAACTAATAGTTTGATGCTATGTAAAAATAACAAAATTTACGCAACAAGTTCACGCTATTTTTCTGTTTAACACTATAAAATTACCCCCTAAAAAATTTATTTTAACCAGTGTGTTGGTGTCTGTGTAGGTGCTTCCTAGGTAGGGGTGTTATCTGCATTCTGATTTTTGCAAGAAATTTGAAAATCTTCTTTTTTATGTTTTCTTCTACAAAATAAAGCACATGTCATGAGTCTTTATGCGGAAGTGACAGTCTATCTTTCAGCTTACTGCAGATTGGTTTCCACCTGGTGAAGCTTCCATCAAGAGAGCACATATTGAGAGATTAATTTATGACCTATGTGAGAATCATACTGGAGAATGTTCACTATCTGTTGGCATTGACATGCATTGTTATCCTAATGGTACCAAGACTACTAATGAATATGGAAATGCCACGCATATTGTTTCAGAAAAATCCTGTCCTTCGAAGGATTGTCAGGAGAGTTCACTAGTTGGGTCTGAAGTTGAGATTACTTTATTACCAACTTCGTCTTCGAGGAGTATTCAATGTGCCAACAATACAGGATTAGTTTTAAGGGAATTTTTTGAGCCAGGATCTGCTTCGGGATTATTTAGTGATGCACAATCTCAAGCCTTCAAGCAGCGATCATCTCTCAATGGGCTTACGAGACCTATTCCTCCAATTCAGGTAATTCAAGCATTGTCACTTTAGTTGCAGGTGCTCAGGAACAATTATCATTGAATCTCAGAAGTTAGAATATTGATTAACATAAGAAATGGGGTTTGCTTATTTTACCTTTTCATTAGTTACTCCTTTTCTTTTAAAAAGAACTGTTATCCCTCCTTTTCTTTTTGGGCCTGTTTTCCTCTTTTCTTTTGGGTTTGGTGTGGGTTGGGGCTTCGAAGGTGTACCCGTTGTATTGCCTATCTGCTTTTATTTTATTGTAATATGCTAGTCAGGACAGAACTGGACTCACAATGGTGGCATCAATCACACAAAACATATATATTTATGTGTATATACATAGATACACAATTTTTTTGGTCTGTGTTTACTCTTGATTTATGAACAGTAGGAATCTAGGTTTAGAAGGCCGTAGGGAGATGAACATATATTAAGTGATCTGGGAAGTTTGATTTATATTTACATAGATATGCATTTTTTTGAACTTTACTTGCTTTCCACTGCAAGCATATGGACAATTCAAAACCTAGTCAGAGTGAGGTTACCAACCATTTAATGTTGGGAAAAACCTAATGGAATACAAAGTATTTGGCTCCCCTTCGTGGTCTAGCATTGAATTTCAAATGTTATCACCTGAACTCTTTTAAGTTAGATACATGAAACAAACTTCTTTGGACTCTGAACTTAGAGAGCAGAAAGACAGATTATATTTGGATAAAACAAGATGGCTTTATGTTGGACCCCCATGTTAGTGTAATTGTGCACAGGCATACACCCTGCTCATATCCATCGATTGTGGTCCCCTCTTTCTCTTCCCCTACACACACAGCACATTAAAACAGAGAGACAGATCGTGTTCAATTGGAGGTTACATTGGGGTTTTCCTATAAATATTCTAACATAGTGACATTTAAGTTGAAAACTAGTTTTTTAGGAGTATAGATGATATTTCTTGCGTCTAGTTCCGTTCAAATATTGACAACATAGATTTTAACCACCATTTTTTGTTCAATCTCTTTCTCCTGGCAGATAAACTAGACTTTTCCAGGTTAAAAGTCTATTCTAGGATCAAACAAAGTTAACTAGATTAACTCTTTTTTTTAATGCAATTGAAGACAATATTAGATTTTATTTCCTCGTGTTGTTTCCTATCTAAACTGGTTGTGTTAAAGAGGGCTAGTGCTTTTTATTAATAATTGAATACTAAACTGTCTTTCTCACTCTCTCTCTGTTATATTCTTGTTCCCCTGCTTTCCTTCCTGTCTTCTCTCTTTCTTCTCAGTTTGTATAAAATTGTGATTGCATCGACCCATCCCTCATCAGTTCCCACCTCACTCTCACACCGCCTCATTTTTTCTCCCGGCATGAAATTTTTCTGCCCAGCCACTAAATTTCACTTCAGCAAGTCTTGATTTAACTTCATTCCAACCACTCTTCCTGAAGAAGTGATCCCATTTTTTTTATCGGGTCCGGGTATAGACCAAAGATCTTGAGCAACCGATCCGGAACAACTCAAAAGATAAAGAAGTATCATTAAGAGGTGGAGAAATAGATTCACCATTCCACCCAATCGATTCAAGAACGTAAGAACGAACTAATGCCATTTGAAACTTAAGGAAATTGTTGAAATTGGAACGTGAGGGACTAAATTGAGATTGCTTTAGCTTTAGAGAACATATGTATGATTTTACTAAAAGTTATCCTTAAATGTTGATTGTGTTTGATAAATTCGAAAACTAAGAATAAAGTCTGTTCTTACTTATTTATTTTTGCCCGTGCGTCTTCACCAGTCGAACTTTTTTCATTTCAAGTATGTTTTTTGATAGGATGAGGTGGAAGCTAATGGGCACTTTGTCTACACTACATCAACAGAAGTTGCCAATCAACATCTAGATGTAATCAGAGCTGAAGCATCTCTCTTTCCTTATTCATGTGGAGATTTTAGATTAGAGTCTATTGCCCAAGCTGCATTAGAGGATTCTGACTCATCTCTGGCAGCATCAGTTTGTGATTCAGATAATTTTTTAGAAATGAAGGATGCTGAAAAATGTCAATCTGCTGGAGACATCTACTTAGACGATAAAATACAGGACCCAACATGTATATCACCAGAAAATTTAGAGCACTTAGCTGATTGCTTTGGTTCGGCTTCTGGCGAAATGCCAAATGTTGCAGAATCTCGTTGCCATGCTCAGACAAGTGACCACAATGATAATGCACATTCGGCAATCTCTTCCTCAAAGAATTTACAGGAAATTTATCAAGGAAATGAGTTATTGAGTGATGGTGGCATGAATCGCGAATGCTTCACTGATTGCCCTGCCTCTGCTTCTGGTGACATTTTGTTGGATGTTTCGGACTCTGAAAGCCCAATTCGGATACTGGACCCAAATGATCATGTGGATGCACTTGAGCTATCTTTGAAGAATTCACCACAATCTTCTCATCACGATAATGATATTTTACTTGATGATGTTGGCATTGGTGGTCATCCAGTATTGGAATCCGACATGAAGCGTGCTGCAAAGAGGATGCGGCTTGAGCCAGTTTCTCTAGAGGAAGAATTAACAACTAACTTATCCAAGGATCTACCTTTGTGAATTGAATGCTGGATTATTTTTCTCCATATCAGTATTTTCTGGTGTCAAAAAATGCAAGTTGCTGCTTTGTCAGCTATGGGAATTAACGATCTTCCTTTACCGTTGACTGAATAAGTTGATGGAGATTAACATGTTTCTTGCGTCATCCACTTGCTGCTGAAGGTAGTGTGAGATTATGATATGAAAAATGTGCTCTCCGAGAAAGTTCGTATTTTATAAGATTTGGCTATACTTTCTATGATCAAGTAGAAACGGAAGATGAAAACTTTCAGGGCAGTAAGATTTGATCAGAAACTTGTGTTTTTTTACCGTATATTGTTTGTAGTTTTGGGTTCTTGGTCGATCCGTTGTAGTTTACCAGTAGTATAAAATTATGTGCAAAATTAGGTGATGATTTACCATTTTATTGACTGAAGGTATTTAAATGTAGGTTCATTTTACTTAAAAACTTGTTGGTTTTTCATTTTATCAGTCCTTGTTATGCATATATTCATGCCTATCTTATGGTTCGTTTGACAAGGCTGCTTTTACTTTGCTTTTCGTAGAAAAACTATCTTAATTAGCGTTTGAAAACTAATTTATGAAAAAGTCTTCTTTTTCGAAAGAGCTTTTAGAGAAAGTCACGCTGGACCACCCTATTCTAAAAACTTTTATAATTAGAAGTGCTTTTTATAATATTAATTAAAGCTTGTTTGCTATGACTTTTGAAATAACGAAAATGAGCTTTTGTGACCCAAAAGTTGCTAGTGGACCCGTTTGACTAATTTTATAAAAGTGATTTTTTTGATCGGAAGAATTTTTAGAGGAAGTTGATTCAATATGAGTTTCTCTAAGGGCAATTTTAAAAGAATCATGCTACAAGTAAATAATCATTTACATAATATATTGCATAATTAACATGTGGCGTGCATCCATCTGTAGTTTACAATTTTTGACTTTCCACACTTCATATCGACGGCTGGATTTCTTCCACATGGGTCTATGTAATCCATCATGTATAGTAATTATGTACATATAGATTTATCTAATTTAAAATAGGAAGTATTTTTAAAAAATTAGTTTTCGAACGAAAATGAAGGTAACTTTTCTCGAAAGTTCTTTTATAGAAAACAAATAAATACATAAATGAATATCATGCCGAATATGCCCTTAAATGGATCTAAAAGTTGCTTTTGGATTCTCGAAGTCCATGCCAAACAAGCCCTAAATATGTCTAAAATTGTGAATGTATAAAATTTTCGACTTTATAACTTTGTGATGGGCATAATTTATTTGAAACCACCTATTTATTTTCACAAATTTATAATCCGGAAAAAAATATTTTAAGAATTTTGTTTGTCCTTTGGTTAGAATTCGCTCATTTGTCAAAAAAATTTATGCACGCTACTCTGACGATTTTTCAATTTTATTTTAAAAATATTTTTACTACCATAAATATTTTGTGAATATGAATAGCGAGGACTTTTCAATTTTTAGTTAGGTCGTCTTTTTTCAATAGATCTAAATTAAGGAGTTCTCTCGTTTAGTACAAATAAAAACGACTGATCATGATGTTTATTGCTGCTATTGCAACAGTAGTCATTTCGAAATGATCTATTATTATAACTTGACGTGCTACTAATGGATTCTATAAAAATCTACAAATAAAAAATTATCTCTCGTAATGTCAAATTCGAAAAAATTGTTACGATCAAATACCGTCTCAAACATCTGCAGTGACATCCTCAACAAACGCCAAACGATAAAATATTACTAAACACGATGAAATATTACTAAACTTTTGACAATGTTTTGATTCGAGAATTACACAAAAAAGGGGGGAAAAAAAAAGAAAAGAAATATCGCATGAAACACGAGTTGTTTTTTTTTTTTTCCTTATTTTAATAATACCTAATTATTGTGATCTACGTGGGGTGCCACAATTTTATATGAAACAGTACCACTCGTGGAAAATGCACCATTAAAAAAACTAGTCAATGTACAACCAAATGGGTTAATTACATTGATGGTCACTGAACTTTTCACTTAATGTTTCATTGGTTACTAAACTTTAATTTTTTTTTGATTCATAATTAAACTATACTAATGAGTTCATTTTTGACGGAATATTTTACGAGTTTGTGCGTCATGTCATAGGATTTAATTGCCGACTCTAAATAGTTGGAATTAAAGAAATTTCAAAAACGTAGAAAAGGGGCTACTGATCCGATAAATAGATAAATCAATAAATTGGACTTTGAAAAATAATACTATTCTTGAATATGTTTGAACCTATACATAGTTTCACCTAAATTTCAATCCGATTGTGGATAGATCACCTAAATTTGGATTCATAAGCCGTGAAAATTGCTCTGTGGAAATCCTAACAATTTGATGACTTGGCAAACAGAGACGGGGGATTTTCAGTTTTAAAAAATAAATGTCAAATTGAATCGGTGGCTGTAAAATTGTGATGAGTTTGAAATAAATTTAAGTTCAGTGGTCAAAGTTACACCAAGTGCAAAGTTCAGTGGCCATTATTAAAAAAAATGGCACCAAAATTTCCCCACCTATAATTGAGGGAGGACGCTCTCTACTCACTTCAAATTCCTGCTTCAACATTTTCTTTTATTACAAATTTTCTGCGAATTTCATCTCACTGTTGCTTCCAGAGACTAAAAATGGCAACTGGGATCTCCCAATTCAAGGCTAAAACGAGTCTTTTAACCCACACCAGAAGACAGAGGCCGGAGGTTCACCGGGCGGTGGTGGTTTCTATGGACCGGAACCAAACTTATTGGGCCACCATTGAAGCCGATATTGAAGCTTATTTGAAGAAGGCTATCCCAATTAGGCCGCCGGTAACTGTCTTTGAGCCTATGCACTACCTCACTTTCGCCGCTCCACGGACGACGGCACCGGCTCTGTGCATTGCGGCGTGCGAACTTATGGGCCGCGACCGCGCCGAAGCTATGGCCGCGGCGTCCGCTATTCACCTGATGCACGCGGCGTATTATGCTCACGAACACCTGCCAATCACAGACCGGCCCAATAACAAGCCTAAAATCCAACACAAATTCGAGCCCAGTATTGAGCTTCTTACGGGAGATGGTATGGTTCCATTTGGGCTGGAGCTTTTGTCCAGGTCCATGGACCTGGCCGAAAACCACAACCCGGATAAGATCCTCCGGGTTATTATAGAAATAACCCGGCTCACTGGCTCACAGGGGATGGTGGACGGCTTGTACCGTGAATTGGAACTTAATGGCTCAAATATTGAATACGTTTGCAAGAAAAAGGAAGGCGAGCTGCATGCATGTGGAGCCGCTTGTGGAGCTATATTGGGAGGCGGAGCCGAGGACGAAATTGAGAAATTGAGAAAATATGGTCTCTATGTTGGAATGATACAAGGAATGCAAAATGGAGTGGGAAAAGATAATAAGGGAATAGAAGAAAAGATTGAGAAATTGAAAATATTTGCCCTTAAGGAATTGGAAAGCTTAAAGGGGAAGAAGATTGAGCCGATTTCTAGCATTGTTGAGCCTAGTCTTGTTGTCGTCTAGAGTCGTGATAATAGATTTGTATATCATGTACAAGAGGGAAGTCGATCTAGGAACTTTGGTGGCTTGTTCGGTAATATGAATTGCACAGTATTGACTAATATGTATGTGTAGAAAATAAGACGGTAAGAAAGTGGTACACACGTTCGTGTGATTATCACCGTCTCTAATATATCTTATTTCATGATATTTGGAAATATGGGATGGACAATAATATTTTTAGAATAAATCAATTTTAAAATTTCATTAGTAAAGATTATAAAGTATATCATCTTTCTTATAATTTTTCATATTTATAGTTGTAATTGTCCTATATATATATGGCTATTTATTGTAACATATACACGAGAACATATATTGTTTTTTCCTCCTTTTTTTATTTAATCATAGCAATAGAATTCATTAAACTCCAAGAAGCAATTCAATTTGATAAAGATTAAAAAACGAACACACGGATTTCAGAAGCAATTTGCTCATTCGAGCCACCATTTTGTAAGTCATGCTAAAAAATAAATCTCAAATCGAATAATGATGAAAATACTAACCAATATATGAGTTTTAACTACTTTTCTTAACAATGTTTGCATTTTAATAAGAAACTTCAAATCTTAATAGGATATGAGAGCCCTAGTTGCAAAGAAAATATTCGTGGTTGTTACTGGCTCAAGTTGTGGGTGACTATTATGTCATAGCTATGTCAACAGCCCTGAATATGAACTCGACATTGCTTGATTGCCGTGGCGGGCAAGGGCAAGCCTGAATCGTCCTTTCACCACCTCTAGTACTGCAAAATCAACAATCTAAAAAACCTCCATTTTTGTGGAGGTATGAAAGAATACGTGCCTGTTTGATACAACTGCTGCTTTTGCCAAAGCTTCTTTTGGAAGAGATGCCTAAAGAAATTTCCCAAGCAAACTTTCTCAAAAAGAGCTTTTAGCCGGACAAATCACTTCCAAAAAATTATCAAATAGGCTCAAAAGCAATTTTTTGGTCTCCGAAATAACTTTTGACTTTTCAAAAGCCTTGTCAAATGGACACTTCTTCTCTTGTCTCTCCCAAGCATAAACTAGATCCATGGTGTGTGTCAGGATTCCTTTGCTAATATCTTCATTAAAGAATTTTCGTCTACCAGATGAATATACACTGCAAATCTCATGTTTCTTGTAATGGCCCTAGGATCAAAAGATCAAGATCCAACAGAATTTACATGCAATCCTTCGATACACGAAGCAATTTCATAACTGGAAAGAAAGACTTTACAGGATCAGTCCCGTCCCTAGCTGCAGTAGTCAATCAGCAGGACATTCGAAGGGGTTGAAGGAAGATTTGTTATCGCTCCATAATAACATGACGACGGGTTCTTTTCACAATAGAACATATCACACTAATTTAAGAAAGCCTTATACGATGGGCCAAGACTGGTGGGTGACAGACGAAAATCATTCCAAGATCAAAACAACTCTGTGCATCGATGTCGATTTTAGGTTCCATCAGTTAATTTTCACGAGACAAGTATTTCACACAACTGAAGGTTGTCCATACAGCAGATTACCTATTTGGATTTGTCAGCCAGTGAGAAGAGTCAAATGATTATTGCTTTCGCTCTGCATTACTGGAACAAGAACAAAGATCGATAATAACATCGAGACATGTATGGAACATAAATAAACCGCGATGACACAGAGATAGGAAAGCAGAGAAGTCAGCACAAAGAATCTATTGCTGCAGGTAAATTAAGTCTATAGTACTTAAAAATAAGTTAGAAACATCATTTTATTCAATAGAAAAAGAAATATGAGTTGATAAACTATGCAACACAAAAATTTTCAACTAGCCTTCCCCCAGTTATAGTTTCTCCAAGCAATCATTAGGAATGAGTTACACTGAGAAAAAATAATACGGGGGATTAGAGATTCGAACCAAAAAAAGAAGAGCCAAACTCATTGTATATTAGTGCCTCTGCTGCATCATCCCCAACATCTCGTTGGTATTAAGAAAGATTCAGACTACTGAAAGGAATCTCGATTAATTTCTTCAATGAAGGGACCTCAACGAATTATAAACGTTTTCATCGAAAGGCAACAAAAAGGAGAGTGAAACCATTCAATAGTGACAAGCCAAACCAAGTGAAACTACTTAAGAGCCTCTGCCCCAGCAATGATCTCCAATATCTCACCAGTGATCTTCGCCTGCCTTTCGCGGTTATAAGCAATTGAAAGATTCTTCTTCAATTCAACTGCATTATCCGTAGCATTACTCATAGCATTCATTCTTGCTGCAAGCTCACTCGCGTATGACTCCTGCAGTGCCCTCAAAATCTGACTGTTCAAGTAAAGTGGCATCAATGCATCAAGAATTTGTGCAGGATGCTGCTCAAACTGATAATTTGGGGAAAAAATCGACCTTCTCAAACGGATAGCGTGATCTCTCTCCACCGTCAATTTCCCCTCCCTAGTCGTTAGCCTAAAGAACTCATCTTCACTAGCATCAATGCTGATTCCCTTCACATCACAAGCCTCCCCTTTCGCAGATAAGGGAAGCAAAGAATGAATAACCGGATCAGACTTGATCAAAGACACAAATTTCGTATAAATTAGCTCAACTTTATCTATCTCCTCGCTCACAAACAGCGAAAACACATCATCGGCAATTACTTGAGCTTCTTTCGAATTGGGAAAATACTCTCGTCCAATAAACCTATCCACATTCACACTAGGCCTTCTCCCGAAATACGCATTACCCTTTTTGCCAACACTAATCACAGTGTAATCCAATCCAAGATTCTTCAATTCCTCGATCCGGTTCTCAACCTTTTTCAATACTGCATTGTTGAAACCCCCACAGAGACCTCTATCACCCGTTATAGCCACAAGAGCAACTTTCTTTACAGGCCTAATGGCCGTCAAAGGAACTTCCACATCTTCCAATTGGCACTGTTCATTGATGCTGTACAAAACTTCGACAAGGGTTTCAGCGAAAGGCCTGCCATTTATGACAGCTTCTTGGGCTCTCCGCACCTTGGCTGCTGCAACTAGTTTCATTGCTTCGGTCACTTTCTGCGTGTTTTTAACTGTCTCAATTCTTTCTCGAAGTTTCCGAACGCCATTTTCAATCAAGGGCAATGTTGAAAGTTGATAAACATTGGCTCTCGAAAATGGCGTCGGGTCTAGAAGAGGAAATGGGTTGAGCTGAGATCGGAACGAAAGTTGNTATCTCACCAGTGATCTTCGCCTGCCTTTCGCGGTTATAAGCAATTGAAAGATTCTTCTTCAATTCAACTGCATTATCCGTAGCATTACTCATAGCATTCATTCTTGCTGCAAGCTCACTCGCGTATGACTCCTGCAGTGCCCTCAAAATCTGACTGTTCAAGTAAAGTGGCATCAATGCATCAAGAATTTGTGCAGGATGCTGCTCAAACTGATAATTTGGGGAAAAAATCGACCTTCTCAAACGGATAGCGTGATCTCTCTCCACCGTCAATTTCCCCTCCCTAGTCGTTAGCCTAAAGAACTCATCTTCACTAGCATCAATGCTGATTCCCTTCACATCACAAGCCTCCCCTTTCGCAGATAAGGGAAGCAAAGAATGAATAACCGGATCAGACTTGATCAAAGACACAAATTTCGTATAAATTAGCTCAACTTTATCTATCTCCTCGCTCACAAACAGCGAAAACACATCATCGGCAATTACTTGAGCTTCTTTCGAATTGGGAAAATACTCTCGTCCAATAAACCTATCCACATTCACACTAGGCCTTCTCCCGAAATACGCATTACCCTTTTTGCCAACACTAATCACAGTGTAATCCAATCCAAGATTCTTCAATTCCTCGATCCGGTTCTCAACCTTTTTCAATACTGCATTGTTGAAACCCCCACAGAGACCTCTATCACCCGTTATAGCCACAAGAGCAACTTTCTTTACAGGCCTAATGGCCGTCAAAGGAACTTCCACATCTTCCAATTGGCACTGTTCATTGATGCTGTACAAAACTTCGACAAGGGTTTCAGCGAAAGGCCTGCCATTTATGACAGCTTCTTGGGCTCTCCGCACCTTGGCTGCTGCAACTAGTTTCATTGCTTCGGTCACTTTCTGCGTGTTTTTAACTGTCTCAATTCTTTCTCGAAGTTTCCGAACGCCATTTTCAATCAAGGGCAATGTTGAAAGTTGATAAACATTGGCTCTCGAAAATGGCGTCGGGTCTAGAAGAGGAAATGGGTTGAGCTGAGATCGGAACGAAAGTTGGACGGATTCATGGATCGAGGGTTTTGAGATAACCCATGTCGATGAATTGGAGGTAGACATAGAGATGGAGATGAAAGGGAAGATAGTGACAATCATTCCCTTTTGCCAAACAAAAAACGGAAAATAAGATGGTCAAACAAAAAATGTCGTAAACCCCCCTCCTTTCACGAGCTGTATATTAAAATCCTGACCGTTAATCTCTCTTCACCGCATATCCAACGCTCCAAACTCTACTCACACCTTACTGTCCCGTACTTCTGCGTCACACCATAACAAAACCCATTCTCCTCTCAGTAGCTGCAAGCTGATGATTTTCGCAGCTCCCACTCACCTATACATACATATAAATTTGTATCTATAGATTGGCATAAATTAGTGTTTGGTTCCTGACAATAAGTAAGAGGCATGTACTTATCCACCTACTGCTCTCTATCATCGATTCTTAGAGCTTGTAGAATTCGCGCTGCTTCCGCTCCTTCATTTTCATCTGCTGTTGCTTCTAAAGCCTCTGCGAAGCAGGATTCTGTTCGTTTTTGTTCTCTCTCGAACATCGGTTTTCGAACGCGGAGCTTCTCGTCGTCGCTTCGATCGTCTGCTCTCCGGTGGAGTCACGGTGTTGACTGGCGATCGCCGGTCAGTCTTAGAGCTCAAACCAGAACCGCTTCTCCCGTCCTCGAACGCTTAGAGCGCAAGAACGCATCCATGGGTATGATTCGCTTTGTTTTGTTTTGTTTTGTTTCGTGTACGATTGAATTAGAATTTGTTGATGATTGGACGTGATCTGTTTTCTTTTGTGCTATCTGACTTGGTTTGAGTTTGATTTAGTTTTGGTTTATGCGAGACTGCTGTGTACTTGTTCAGTGCTTATTAATTGTTATGACATTCGAGTTTATTGTTCCTTTGTTTACCTGTCAACTTTCAAAAATCGTAGTTCAACCGATGTTTTTCAGTCCGATCAATTGATATATGTTGACCGTGCTTGTGCTAGCCTTCAATGGCAGATGAACATTGCTTGCGTCCTGCACACACTCTCATATACAGAATCAGTTGGTTTTGCATTATAGTTAAATTATGGCGCTGTTGAGTTTGTTGTGCAAATTGGTTCTCCAAAATGTACACCCTGAATCTACTATTACCCATGAGGGTGATGGAGAAGACATTTCTTTTGTTTATCAAGTTTTAATTATGAACTATTTCTTTTTAATATCAAAGAGGCTAAAGTGGACGATAGCAAATTGTTCTCTTTGGGGTATCTTTGTAAATCGTAATGCTCTCATTAATAAACATAATGGACTGGCCATGTTGATGTTATTTTTCTCGTTTTCTTGTTTTAAATTAAAAAGCTGCATGTAGGTATACGTCTGGAAAAAAAAAATTGATGAGGAAGGAACGCGTGGAGAGATGTGCTAGGTTTTAATTCAGTCCTCTTTATTTCAGTTTTGTGATTATACAAGGGAAGTGATACAATTTTTATGTTAATGTAGATTAAGCCCCTGTTTGGTCGGAATTCAAATCAAGCTTTTTAATCTAAGTCAAAGTCAACAATTAATTTGAGCCTCACATTTAAAGGGACGACCCACAACTTTTCAACCACTCATTTCGTCAATTTTTATCAAAATTTACTAAAAATCTAATTTTAATCCTTGTCAAAATAGGGGCCAAGAATCAGAGGTTGACCACCTTCTCTCTCCTCTTCCCCATATTTTTTGAAATTTCTATCTCATTTTTCTGTTTTGGTTTTTCTTCCTCTATTTTGTTTATCACATAATGAATTTTATTAGGCGTGTTGTGCTTGTATGTGTGAAAGAGTTGGAGGCTTTCCAATTGCCATTTGATGTTAATATTTGTTCACTTCCCTTTGACGAGTCCTGACAGAGTTCATTTTGATTATTGAAGTTGCTCCCAGCCTCCCCTACCCATTTGATATTACACTCCCAATAATTATACAATCATGTTTATCTTGAATTGCTTTATTGTTGTTTATTTATTAATGAATCTCGTCAATTCAAGCAGCTTCTGAAAATCCTCTGCTTCTGAAATCCTTTCAAGGGAATTTTTGCCGCACTGCCCAAGCCTGGAGGAGGTGAATTTGGAAAGTTTTATAGCCTTCCTGCTTTGAACGATCCTAGAATTGAGATGTGAGGAATTTTTGCTTCACTTCATTTCTAGTTTTCGTTTATTGATCTGTGTATGTTTAAATGTAGACCAATTACACTTTACATTGGCCTTTTTCAAAGAGATGTTTTTTCTGTCCACAATTTCAGCCTGTCTGTTGCATCTCCTCCTCTAATTGATATCATGTGTTTTTGTCGTAGTTAGAGACATAATTCAGGCCATTCATTAGATGTCTAGATAACTTTCATCATATTGAGTCTTTATGTATATGTTTGTTGATTACTTCTACCTCAGAACGAATCTTACATTCCTTATCTGCGATATCCATTCTTGCAGACAAACTTCCATATTCAATCAGGATACCTTTAGAATCCGCCATACGAAATTGTGATAACTTCCAAGTAACCAAGGAAGATGTTGAAAAGATCATCCGATTGGGAAAATACTGCCCCCAAGCAAGTAGAAATTCCCTTTAAGCCAGCCCGTGTTCTGTTACAGGTGAGAGGTGTAGCATTGTGTTAAACTGATAATTATAGAATAAATTCCTAACAGCTTGTAAAGGTCTTACTTTTCTTTTATAGGATTTTACTGGAGTTCCAGCTGTGGTTGACCTCACTTCAATGCGGGATGTGATGAAGAATCTTGGCAGTGACCCTGATAAGATCAATCCCTTGGTACCTTGCTTTTCCTTTGCACTATAATTTCCTTATAATGTGTTTTTGTTAGTAACTAAAACTTCTTAATGGGAAAATTGCCCATCTAATGAGGCTATCGTTCCCTTTAGACGTGAAATTCATCAAGCGAACCTGTAAAATTCATTCCAAAGTCAGTCTGAGGTAACTTTATGTAACATGCAAGAAATAAAGATGAGTAATACAAATTTAGGTTTTAATGAGCACATAATCATTTAAATGCCATTAATAACTCCTGCATGATTTGCAACTTGAATTAATCTACCTGAGAAACATAGTGCATATTAACTCCTGCAAGATTAGTAATTTGAATTTATCTACCTGAGAAACATTAACAGCCAGCTCCTTTGAAATGAACTTGGCAAGCTCTGAGAAACGAGGCTTCAAATCTGAGTATTTCACACTCAATGACATATAAAATGTAATGAGTCCTATTTTAATCGCCCCTGCAGATTGAAGGTTAAGTAAAATTTAGTAAACTCAGCCAATCATCAGCAATATCCAGAATTAACAAATAGCAATTGCCTATGTAAAGCTGGAATTACTATTATCATTTAACACCATTAGAATCTATAACCATCCACTAAAGGTACCAACTTCTTCAGACGTTTAACTACTCCATTTAACCACTATCTCCTTTCACTAATGAAATCTAATCTCCAAATCGGCAAAAAATAGTTCTCAGATAATAAATATTGTTGGTGAATGCATGTGGAAAATAGCATAATGCCCAGATATAATTTCACACTCACTAGCATCCGGTAGCCATTAATTTCACATTCACTAGCAATCCATTTTCCAACCTCACCCCTACACCACAATGCCAATTATTTTGCTGAGAAAATTGACTTCAGTTGAAAGAAAGAAAGTAGAAGGGAAGTCACCTTAACCAGTCGCTCAGTTCGCACAGCTAGGTCCGAAGATCCCAAATTCTGATTCCGTCCGATTGACCCATGGTCGCGGACCACCTGGGCTGCCTTCCCCTCCACATGACGCACCCAGCCCAACCATGGGTCTTCCTTAATTTCGTCCAGAACGCGATCGATTTTTGACTGCAGTTAAGGGTTTGTGCGAAAAATTCGGTGCTCATGATTGTGTGAGATGAGGTGAGGCTGAGGCTGTTGGTGGTTGTGTGGTTGGTTGTTGTTGGTGGGCGTGGTGGCTGTTGGTGCTTTTGTCCGGTAGGCGTTGTGCCGGAAGGTTAGGGATGGCAACGGGGCGGGGCGGGGGCGGGGATGCCCCCCGTCCCCCGCCCCGTTAAAAAAATCAATCCCCATTCCCGCCCTGTTCCCCGTTTAAGGCGGGGCGGGGGTAGGTTATTTCCCCCGTTTATTCCCCGTTTAAATTTTTTTTTAGTTTTTCATAATTTATTTTTATTATCCATATTCATTATATTTAGACAAATAATTTTAGTTGCTATTTTCTATTAGAATTAATGAAAATT